TGGTTTTGTTTTTTAGCAACAAAGTATGAGAGATTGTATGTGTGTGTGTGTGTGAAAGAGGAGGGCGGGGGGAGAGACAGATAGCGAAAACTGAAGGAGTATCCTACATCTGCTGTTTTATTACCCAAACTTGAATTCCAGTTGGAGGGTAGAGATACAGGAACTTAAGCCATCACCTGCTGCCTCTCAAAGTGTGCATTACAGGACAGAGCAGCTGGACTAAAACCTTGGCACTCTGATTTGAGATGCAGGCATCACAAGTATGCCAAGTGGTGGATCTCATTGCACCACAATTCCAACCCGGCTTCATATATTTTTCTGCATGTAACAGTAGTTCATTACTTTGATGCTATAGTTCTCCATTGTATGAACAGACCAAATCTGTCCATTCTACCACTAAAGGACATTTGATTTGCTTCCATTAGGGAACTATAAGTGAAAGCTGCTATAAGCTTTTCCTTTTTTTTTTCCTAAAGTAAAATCCACATAACATAGAAATCAAAATCTTAAGCAATTCAGTGGCTTTTAAGTACAGTCACAACATTGTGCAATTACTACCGTTGTCAAGTTCCAAGATTTTTTATCACCCCACAAGAAACCACATGTCCATTAACCAGTCAATCTCAATTTCCTCTTCCCCCAGACCTCTCAATCAGTAATCTTTCTGTCTCTAAATATTTGCCTATTATTAACATTTCATATCTGTTTTAGATGTTTATTTCACTTAGCATGTTTTCAAAGTTTGTCTGTATTGAAGTAGATGTTAACAGTCTATTCCCTTTTGTAGATGAATAACATCTCATTGTATGGATAGGTTTACATTTTATTTATGCACTCATCAGTTAATATACATTTGAGATGTCTTTTTTTTTTTTTTTACTATAATGGATAATAAAGCCCGAACATGTTATCCATTTCTTGGATATACTGCCAGGGATATGAACATTTTTTATTTATTTATTTATTTTTATTATTTTTTTATTGGAAAGGCAGATATACAGAGAGGAGAGACAGAGAGGAAGATCTTCCGTCTAATGATTCACTCCCCAAGTGAGCACAACGGCCAGTGCTATGCCAATCCAAAGCCAGGAGCCTCTTCCGGGTCTCCCACGTGGGTGCAGGGTCCCAAAGCTTTTGGGCCATCCTCGACTGCTTTCCCAGGCCACAGGCAGGGAGCTGGAAGGGAAGCGGGGCTGCCGGGATAGAACTGGCGCCCATATGGGATCCTGGGCATGCAAGGCGAGGACCTTAACCACTTGCGCCACCGCGCCGGGCCCAATATGAACATTTTTTATGCATGTTTTCTTGGTGGATAAAACATTCATTTCTCTTGGCCATGTATCCAGATGTGAATCGTGAATTTGACAAGATTTTGCCAAAGTGTTACACAAAATGGTTGTGCCAGTACCACCATGTATGAGACTATCAGCCCCCTGAATGTTTCACTAACCCTGGGCAGGTGTTTTTATCTTATTCAGTCTTCTAAGTGTATAGTGGTATCACACTGTGTTTTAGTTTATATTTTATGATTGTTAATAATGTTGAACACTTTTTCAAATACTTATTGGCTATTTGGATATTCTTTTGGTGGTATATCTGCCTAGTTAAGCCTTTTCATAATTTTTCCATTAGATTGCCTGTTTTTTAATTGGTCAAGAGAGGCTTATATGCAAGTTGCATCTACTCCTGTTGATCTATATACTGAAACTATGAAAATACTATTTCTAAATCCATTGTACTTTTTCACTCTCTCTATGCCATATTTTAATTATTTTTTAATTGGGGAAATATACATTGAAGATTATGCCCAGTTCTAAGTGCCTAATTAAATGAACCAGTATACATATTCATGAATTACTGCACAATGAACATATAAGCATTTTTATCTCCCCCAAAACTACATACTTTCTTCACCTCTTGTCAATTTCACCCTCCCACAGAGAATCACTACATGGCTTATACCTCACAGATTAGTTTTGCCTCTCAGATAATAGTAATAATTAAAGTACACAGTATAAATGCTCTTAAATCCTGCCAGTACTAGCTTTAAATGTTTTCTACTGTTATTTTTTCAAGTCTCCATTCCTGTTTTCAGTTGTGTTCCATTTTAGTATCTTCCCTACATAATTAGTATTTTAAAAAGATTTTTTTTGAAAGGCAGAGGTACAGAGAGAAGGAGGGAGAAAGAAAGAGGTCTTTCATCAGCTAATTCACTTCCCCAAATTGTCACAATAGCCAAAGCTGAGCTGATCCAAAGTCAGGAGTCATGAGCTTCTTCTGGCTCTCTCTGCTTCCTTCTCAAACCATAAGCAGGGAGTTGGATGGAAAATGGAGCATCCAGGGTACCAGCTAGTCCCCGTATTAGTTTCTGGCACTTGCAGGTGGAGGATTAGCCTGTTGAGACAATATACTGGCCTCTAAAATGAGCCCTTAATTCCAAATATTGGATATTTCAGTCCTAGTATGTTATTTGAGTACTTTTTGAGCAGATTCAAATTTTTGTTTTGAAATCCCTGTTTATAATCTATTTTGTCAATAGTTCCTCTAGTGTCTTTAATATATAGCACAATTATGCTGAAGTCCTTGCTTGCTAACTCAGGTATCTGAAAAACTGTGTGGTAAATTTTTAAAAAAAGAATTATTTATTATTTTTATTAGAAGTGCAGGGTATAAAAGAAAGATAAGGAGGAGAGGGAGAGTCCTTCTATCTGCTGGTTCACTTCCCAAATGACCACAACAGCCAGGACTAAGCCAGACTAGATCCAGGAGTGAGGAATTCTGAGTTCCCAAAGTGTGTGGCAAGGACCCAAGCATTTGGGCCATCTTCTACTGCTTTCCCTGACACATTAGCAGGAGGCCTGATAGGAAGCAAAGTAGCCCAGACTCTAACCTTTAAGCATTCCAATATGGTATGGCAGCATTGTAAGCAGTGACTAAACCTGCTCTACCACAAATCTGGTCCCTTATAAGTTTTTACTGTATATTTTTCCTCTGGATTGTTGATCATATTTTCTTGCCTTTTGCATATCTGCTCATATTTATTGTGGGATGAATATTATGTCCATAGAGGCCCTAAATGAAATCTCTCACTAGGTAGAGGTCTCCCTTTTTATTCAACTAGGTTGGTAGAGGAAGGGTCTGATGACCTCAACTCAATCAAAGCTTGAATTAGGTCAGGGATTTAATTTCTAGTAGGATTTGGCCTACCTTTGGTTTGTTTCTGGTTTTAAGGTTTTGACCTCTCAAGTTTCATTCTGACAGCCTGACTAACGTCTTCTAGGCCCAGAAAGATATTAGGTGACATTCTCTGAGAGTATTAGCCTAAGGGTTTTTTTTTTATGTATTTATTTGAAGGTAAGAGTTATACGGAGAGGAGAATCTTCCAACCCCAGGTTCACTCCACAGATGGTCAATGCCCAGGGCAGAGCCAGGCCTAACTCAGGATCAAAGAGCTTCATCCAGCTGTCCCATGTGGTGCAGTGGACTTAGGTCTTAGCCACTCTCCATTCCTCTCTTCCATTCTCTCACACACACAGCTTCAGGTGTTGGGAAGGTGTTTTGAGAGGAAGGCTAGTGTTATGTTCAAGGCAGTCCTTCTTCTAATCTTTTGAGTATCATGGGAACCTGGGAGATTTCATTCTGTTTTTTAGATGCCCTCAGCCTAGATTTCCAGATTTCTTTGCACAGTATCAGAATCCAGAAGATATCCTGTGAGGAAAACTTTGTAAGCATTTTGAATACTGCAAATTTCCAAACTGCTTTGTAATTCCCTTTTAACTGTCAAAAGCTTCACTCCTTCTGTCTGATATAAATTTTTTCTGTCTAGTATAAGTCCAAATTGCATGACAATCCCCAAATATTTCCAGAGAAGAGTTGGCAATTGTTAATTCATTTTGAAGGATTCCCTACACCATAAGTTTCATTCTCATCCTGATCATACCCATGTTTCTACAAGTTGTTAGAAAATATTATTTTCGTAATGTGTTCTTATTTTTCTAATTGTTGCAGTGAGGTTTCTAATGTGAGCTGTACTTAGGCAAAGAGGTTCAGATGCTTAGCTTAAGTGGAGTCCAAAGAGTCATTATTCCAGGCAAACAAGAGAGGAAAAAGCTTAGTACATATGTGAACAGCAGCATATCATAGAGTACCTTGAAGACAGCCCTTCCAACACAACATGGTAGAACTCTCAGTGCAAAAGTAGAGACACAAGTTTAAGGACTTGATTTGAGAAAGAAGCCTGAAATCACTCTGCATGTAACCTAGGATGAGGCCAGAAGTCCTCCTAGAGCATTTCACAACCACAATTCAACATTCAACTGGACAGGCCTGCTTTTTTCCCAGTGAAATGTAAACTCTGAGAAGATGGGAATTTTGTCTGTCTTCTTCATTGTCATTATTTTACTGCAAGAAGAGTTTCATTTGGTAAAAATTATTTTGTTTATTTGAAAAGCAGAGTTACAGAGAGGGAGGGAGGAAGAGAGAGAGAGAGTTTGAGAAAGAGAGAGATTGAGATTCTCATCTGCTTGTTTATGCCCCAAATGGCTGCAACAGCAGGATCTGGGCCAGGTCAAAGCCAGGAGCCAGAAGCTTCTTCTGAATTTCCCACACAGTGGTAGAAGGCCAAGCACCTGGGTCATCCTCCATTGCTTTCCCAGGCACATTAGCAGGGAACCAGATTGGAAGTGGAACATCAGGAACTCACACTGGTGTACATATCGCATGCTGATGTAGCAGGCAGTGGCTTTACCTGACACTCCACAATGCCAGTCCACAGTAGATTGTTAACTAACCAATTGGCAAATTTTGAGTTCATACAGTGGAAGTCTATACCTCAATCTTGTATCAGTCCTTTTGAAGTTGGTTGTAAATAACTGTGTTTATATAAACTCTGAAGTAAACATCATTGACTTCAGAATCTCCCTGTATCTCTGTTTTCCAGATGTTCCTAGTGTCCAGATGTTCATGCTCCCTACCTCCTGGAAATCTAGCCCTGGCTCAATATGGAGGCCATGACTTGTAATGGATCAGGAGATGACTCACCTGTCTTCTACCTGGTGGGCATCCCCTCTCTGCCAGAGTCCTTCTTCCTCTTAGTGTTTTTTGTCTTTCTCCTCTTCTACCTGCTCATCCTACTGGGCAATGCCCTGATCCTGGTGGCTGTGGTGGCACAGCCCAGTCTCCACAAGCCCATGTACTTCTTTCTGATCAATCTCTCAGCCCTGGACATCCTGTTCACCACAACCACCATTCCCAAGATGCTGTCCTTGTTCCTGCTGAGGGACCACTTTCTCAGCTTTCAGTCCTGCCTGTTGCAGATGTACCTCTTCCAAAGCTTCACATGCTCTGAAGCCTTCATCCTGGTGGTCATGGCCTATGACCGCTATGTGGCTATCTGCCGCCCACTGTACTATCCTGTCCACATGACTCCACAAACCAACGCTGCACTGGCAGCCAGCGCCTGGCTCACAGCTTTCTTCTTACCTGTCCCAGCAGTAGTAAAGACCTCTCAGATGATGTATAATAGCATTGCCTATATCTATCATTGCTTCTGTGACCACATGTCTCTAGTCCAGTCCTCCTGCTCAGACACCACCTCCCAGACCCTTATGGGCTTCTGTATCGCTATGGTGGTGTGCTCCCTTCCTCTTCTGCTGGTGCTTCTCTCCTATGCCCACATTCTGGCCTCAGTGCTTCGCATCAAGTCCCAAGAAGGCCGATCCAAAGCCTTTTCCACCTGCAGCTCCCACCTCCTGGTGGTAGCCACCTACTATTCATCCATTGGCATAGCCTATGTGGCTTACAGGGTTGACCTCCCCCTCGACTTCCACATCATGGGCAATGTAGCATATGCTATCCTCACACCCATTCTCAATCCTCTCATCTATACCCTGAGAAATAAAGATGTCAAGGTAGCCATCATCAAAGTCTTATGTCCCAAGACCTAGACTGTGACAGGAGCATCTGACCTTCAAATACAGGCAGTTTTGCTCCTAGAACACCAAATAAACTAAAACAGTGAATAGCATAGAGCAGGAACATAACAAATTCTGTTGAATAAAGAAACTAATGCCTGTAGAACATTAAAACAAAATTGAGTTGGGCAGACAGTTTAGGGTTCTCATATTTTAATCCAGAGTCTTTCTCTGGAATGCAATAAGATTAATTTTTACTTCATAGGAATTTTAAGATGTTGAATAAAAATGTCATTGCTTACAAATTTGAGATACATTTAATAGGATAAAATTAAATCTACATGACAAAGAAACTTATAAGCAAAGCCAGAAAGTAAATAGCAACATATCACAAGAAAAGAGCAACTATTCATAATACAGAAGAAGCACTTAAAAATTTAGAAGTCTAACAGTTCAGTGTAAAAGAGAGCAAAATACATGAGCAGTTCATCCAAAAATTCAATGATTTTTCAACAATGAGAAGTTAATCTACTATATGAAAGGAATAGCAATAAAACTGTTGAATCGGTATTCTTCACTTAACCAGATTAACAACAATGCAGTGTTTTGATGATATGCACATTGAAAAACTGAATTATTGTAACTTTTTGGTGAGGATGTTAATCAGTCCATGACTGGTACATTAACTGCCAAAAGTACATACAAATTTACCCTGTGACCTAGCAACCTCACTCCTAGAAATATATCTCAAAGGTTCACTGACAATCATGTGTTAGGCTCTCCATTTACCAACAGAGGCCTGGTTAAAGAGACTATTAAAATATGTGATAGAGCTACAGAAGTGAGGAAACTATATGTTGATATGACATCATCTGTATACTATGCTGAAAAGTGACAAAAGTAAGGCTGCAGAACAATATTTTTATAGGAAAGAGATAATTTGCTTAAAATTTCAGGGCAAAAAGCCAAAACACTCCTTAACTACTAATAACAGTTATCTGTAAGGAGAGGGGCAGTATGAATGGGGCAGGAATGGAATAAGACAAGCTTAACTGCACTGACTTCTGACTTCAAAATGAACACAATTTGGGGTGGGCGTCATGACTCATCAGACTAAGTCACCTCTTGGCACACTTGTATCCCCTATAATTTGTACTTGGACTCAAGTCCAACCTCTGCCTTCAATCTGGCTTCTTGCTAATGTGCCTTGGAGGGACAGGTGACTACCCAAATGATTGGGTTCGTGCTGCCCTCATGGGAGACACAGTTCTTGTCTCCCGGCTTTGGCCTGCCTAAGTCCAGCCATTATAAGCATTCGGGGAGTGAACTAGCAAGTAAAAGATAATTCAGTCTCCCTCCATCTTTCCTTCTATCACTTCCTTTTCAAATAAAGAAAAAGCTACTATTTTTTTATCGCACCAAAATAAACCTATCTCTTAATTGTGTTTATCATAAACTTTTGAAATAGCTTCATATTGTCAGGTAATATTTGTCAAAAATGTAAAAGTAATTGAAAAAAAGACAGGATGTATAGCAAATGGTGCTGGAAGCATTAAAATGTTCATAGGTGCATACATAAAAGAATTTGAGCCTAAACTTCATCCCTTATTCAAAAGTTCATTGAAATTGTTCACAAACTGAAATGAAAAATAAAAGGATGCAAAACTTCTAGAAACTTCCTAATTTCTATGCATAATCATTGATTTGGTGATGAGTACTTAGAGATGGTACAAAACAGCATAAAGGGAAAATAGGTAACTAATAGTTTATAAAAATATAAAACCTCTGCTCTACAAAAGACATTGCAAGAGAATGTAAAGAGCAACTGCTGACTGGAGGCATATATACAGCATATCTGATACAAAATTTATTCCTTTATACAAAAGCAAATAGTCCAATCTAAAAATTGGCAAAAGATTCTAAAGCTTATCAGCAAAGAGTAATGGAAAATGAGCACACGAAGGATGTTCAACATCATTAGTCACAGGGAAATGTAATTAAATTACAACACAAAGAAACATACCACATGGCTATTTGAATGACTCAAATGAAAGAATAAAAACAAGTGAGCAAATGCTAAACACTGGTAAAAATAAAGAACAGTAGGAACTCCCATTCAATGTTAGTGGTAACTAAATGTGCTTTGGCCATTTTGGAAAAAAATTTGACCAGTTTCTAAGGAAGCTAAATATACTTTAACAACACAATCAGCAACATGAGTCTTACTTTAATAAGTTATATTGGGCTCAGTTGCCAGCAGATATAATTCAGGGAGAGGCAGTGTGCTTCTCCAAATCATGAATTTCAGTCTATGAGGAAAAAATTCAAAATATGAGGGATATTCTACAAAATACTAGCTGTTACTCTACTTTTCAGCCCTGCAGAACCACTTGCAAAGTGCAACCCAGGAGTGGGAGTGGGCCCAGTAGGAAAATAGTGGACACATCCCTCTTGGGTTTCCACCCCCATTGGTGAGCATGCGAACCAGGACTGGGGCAGGCATGGCAAGACAGAGAATGGCATCCACCAGCACCTGTGTGGGCTGGATAGTGGGTTTGGTTGGGTTAAGCTAAACTTCAATGCCTATTGACATGTATGAGAGCTGAATGGCATGTGGGACAGACTGAACCAGTCTGATGTACATACTGGCAAGCACAGGAACCAGGGCAACAGTCAGGCCTAGTGGGGGTTATTGTGGATCACTCTGACTAGGTGGCCACTCCCACCAGCATACATAAAGATCGAGTGTGTGGTGGGCAGGATTGGGCTGGGCTGCAACATCCATTAGTTTGTGTAGAAGATAGGCTGGAGCAGAATTGACTCAGCAATTGCAACTACCAGCATGTGCTTAAGCTGACTGGGGGCGATGGACTGTGCCAGACCCTGTGTTGGCAAGCACATGCAAGAGTCAGATCTGGGATCATCTCAGACAGATGAGGTTTCTATGGGGATCCCCCTAACTGAATTGCTGCATTCAGAACTCCAACAATGGAGAAAATTGCAGGTTCCATGGTCTGACCGTGGCGTGCATGTGTCAGAGTTGGGCCTCCTCAGTGGCTTGGATGGAGCAGTGGGCAGCATGGCCAGGTGTACATGGAGGATGTAATGGTGCATTGGAATCTGCAGAGGATACCTGGTGCCACAGCAGAGGACAGAACAAATTGATCAACTACCCCCAGCCAAGTGTTGGCAGTGAATATCTGGGCAAGTAGCAACTCTAGGGTGGACTCTGTCAATCAGTGAATTCTGGAAAGATTTTATTGTGCTTGGAGTGGCGAGATCAACAGTAATTCAGAACTGTTGAACTGTCAAAAACTCTCAGGCAGGACTCTCAGAGCACCCCCCACATCAGGTGACTGTCTTCCATCCAGGGTACAGAGACATTTGGGAGGCTGGGTGTGGCTTCTTTCATTGTCTCCCCACTTCTTCAAGATACAGAGAGGAAAAAAGAGAATGTGGAAAGGGTGATCTTACCCACCTTCCTGAAGTCCTAATCACCTATGTAAAAATCACCCTAATAACCTATGTAAAAATCATCAAAATAAATAATAATTGAACAGTGAAAATAACTAAATACATCTGAACCAAGTATGCTTTAAGTTAGAAGTGAATTCTAGCTAATAAAGAGAAATTTGAATGCTTTTAACATGAACAAATGATAAATATGGTAATAAATATGTCCATTTTTCTAATCAGATCAATGCACATTATATAGATGTAATGAAATATCACACTGTACTCCATGAATAAGCAGCATACTATGTGTCAGTTAAAAATAAAATTTTGTAAAAAGGAAAAAAAGAATTAACTTTCTGGAGTTTTGTCTGAGATTATACTGGATACATAGATCAAATTTGGAATGATAGATATTCTAACAATATTGAGTTTCCTATTCATAAACATGGTATATACTTCCATTTACTTGGCTTTTATTTGATTTTGTTCATCAATGTTTTGTTGTTTTTAGTCTACAGGTCTTACATATAGTTTATTATATTTATATATAAGTACATTTTGTGTGTGTGTGTGCGATGATAGGTTAAGCACTTGGAGAGGCAGAGAGAGAACTCTTCATCTGCTGGTTCACTTCCCAAATTCCCACAGTAACCCAACCTGGGAATTGGGAGAACAAAGCTGGGAGCTGAGAACTCAATCCAGGTCTCCTAAATAGGTAGCAAGAACACAACTGCTCTACTCATCATAGCTTTTTTTCTTTTTAGGGAAAATATTATCTGAGATAAAGAGAGAGACAGAAACAAACTTATCCAATAGTTCACTCTTCAAATGTCTGCAACAGCTAGCTGTGATTTGTCCCGTCCATGCCAGGAGCTGGGAACTCAGTCCAGAACTCCCAAGTGGATGGCACAGCCCAACCTGTTTCCTCCCAGAATGCACCATAGCAGAAAGCTGGAATTTGGAGTATCCAGGACTCAACTCCACACACTCCAATATGTGATGTGGGTTTCTTAAGCTGCTATAACAAATGCCCACCTTAGATGATGAGTTTTTAACTGATTACTATTTTAACACTGAACAAAGTACATGCCTGGGATAAATCCTATTTTATTGTGATATATTATGCTCTTTTTATGTTAGAGGTTTTAATCTATGACTATTTTGATTCACATTTTTGTATTAATGTTCACTAGAAATTCTATTTTGTAATTTTCTAATAATTTCTCTGTCTGGTTTGGTATTAAATCAATGCTGTCCTCATAAAATAGTTAGGAATGTTTTTACCCTCATCTATATTCTAGAAAACATTGGGTAGAATTGGTACTTTTTCCCTTCAGTATTTTGTTGAATTTTCCTGTGAAACAATCATCAGGTTGTACCATTTTCTTTTAGGCAAGTTTTAAAATAACAGAATCAATTTCTTAAATAGGCACATGTGCTTTGCATTATCTACTTCTTGAGTGACTTTTAATCATTTCTGCCTATCGGGAAATTTGTCCAACTTATCCAAATTATGTATTTGTAGGCATAGATCTGTTTGTAGTGTCCTTTTAATATCTATGACATCCTCTTTTCAT